CCTCCGGGTTTTTTTTCCTTTTTAATTTTTTTTTTTTTTTTTAAGAACTGGACAAAAAAAAACTGAACAAGACTAACAACAGTGAAACGACTAACTAGGAAAAGCTCTAACTAAATAATTTGTCTGACTAAACGAAGTAACTGTGAGGAGAGAGACGAGCTCTGTGTGCAACCTAGGGTGGCAATGAAGGAAATGAGGAGGGCCAGGCCACGCGCGCCAAGTGCAGGGCATGAACAGCACGAGGTGCCTAGTGTGCGTGCATGGCCTGGCCGGCTACTGCTAGGGAAATCTCCGATCTGCGGCACTGGGTAGCCCAACACATACACTGGAACACTTATGGGAACATCACTTAAAGAAGAAAATTATGTTATTAAGAACAGTTAAAATAACATTGTCAAAATTAAGCTTTAAAATGGACTATAATCAATGATGGTCTCATTTCATTGGTCTTGCTTTAGGATTACAGAGTCTTTTTAAGACTGGTATTTGCTGGGGCACTAAATATCTAAAGTGAAAACTTCCCTGCCACCAAATTAGAGGATGGACACCTACAAACTAGTGCACCTATGCTTTTCCCCATAACGCCTCCAATATGGCATCTCCATGCAGACATGGAAAACTGGGGGAAAATCTTGTGCTAAGACCCAAGTGTTAGCTCCTTCCGGAGGATGGGAAATTGCCTTGTCCAATTGCTACATAGGCCACTTTGAAAATCCATCAATTCTCTAGAGAGCTGTTTGAAACAGCAAATCTCCTCAGAGTTGCCCCAAGAGATACAGGGTTACAGCTGTACAGAGTCAATACAGCTGCCATCACAGCCTGTAAAAACTGGGGAAGTACCTCAGCCCTGAAAACAAGGACCAGCTGCCACAGATGAAGACACATTTGTTTCAAAGAAGAGGGAAGAATTTACAATTTGCTTTTAAAAACTATAGTTGCACCTCCCAAAACTGGAATTCTCTGGTCTAACAGTATCTGTGATCGTTGATCAGAGAACCCTGGTAGCCTAGTGGGAGGAGGGCAATTCAGGAGGGGTCAGGTTGAAGCAGTGGGATGGGGCAGGGGCTGGCAGCAGCCTCCAACAGCCTGTAGCACTGGGACCAGGTCAGGAGAGCCCCTGACAGCGCAGGATTGGGCTAGCATCAGCCTGAGGCAGCACGGGGCCTCGGTTAGTGGAGGAAGTAAAGGAGCTGCATTTTTATTTTGTTGAAACATATGATGAAAAATAGAAAATGCAGTGGGATTTCTTAGTTTATAATTAAGATGACTGCCAATTATGGCTTAAAAATGGACCCCGCTAAGTAGCTGTTTATTCAACCTTTGGTTTTGGACATTTTGACTTTTTCATTACTTCAAGCCAGAGTGCTGTAACCTTAAATCTTAGTCAGTATTATATGCCTAACAAACCTGAGTGTCTGTCAGTCAGAACACTGGGAAGTCTGATAACATTTCAAGTGATGCAAAATTTAGGATTACTCCAGGGGTTTAGTACCTTCACTGTTGCAAATGGTTTGCTTATTCTAAAAGACTGCATTCAGTCCATTCTAACATCTTCTATCACCATTTCAAATCCAGTCTTTCCAAAATGAAATTCTCATCTTTCCTCTTAATTCCTTTTTACTTCCTCCTCTGTCTCTTTTGTTACTTAAAATTGGACTATCCTCCAAGGAATGCAAACTTAGTCTCATTTTCAACTCTTTTCTCCTGTTCTCTTCTGCATCTAGTCTTTGAAGTAAATCTGGTTACTTCTGTTTCTTATAGTACAGTATTACCAAAATCTGTCCTTTCCTCACTACTGAAACTCTCGACAGTGCCCAGAGCTAGAACTGGGAGTACATACAGTGGTACTACAACTTCTCCCAAGATGCCATCTTGTTCTCCAGAACCCCAGCTTTCATTTAAGATTGTCTGTGAGAGGACTGAACCCCAGATTTCTGTAATCTATGAACCTCTGTGTGAGCTAAAGGATCAAGTCCATGAACCCAGAGGTAATGGCAGACTCAAACTTCTCTATACATGAGCTAGTCCAGCTACTCAAGGGGGCAAAGAATCGCACTCAGATAGCATGAATTACACAAATACAGCTCATTTTAAATTTTAAAACAGATGAAACAAATAAAAATCAGCCTTTTAGAAAGATTTTTTCTTCCATAAAATACAATTACCCGCAATTGGCACAATTGAAGTGATCAGGGTGGTAAGGATCATTCTTGAATATCAGTGGTTGTTCATCAATAATGGCATGGCACTTCTGGCAGATGTATTTTCCAAGACCCCTGGCTTTTTCCAGGTTGTGACAATGACGGCAAAGATGCCTAAAAACAGAGGAAAAAAGAAAAACAGTAACAGTAAATAAATACTTTTTGGAATCTTACCGCACAATAAAAACACAAACAAAATCTTTTAGAATCTCAATTCATTCTGCTATTTGGATAAATCATATAATCATATTTGGATAAATCCATCTATTTCCTTAAGGAAATCAAGCTCAAAAGACAAGGGAAAAAATAGCAGTCAATTTACTTTTGTCCAGCACTTTTGTCTTTTGTTCTCTTGCATTTAATGTATTTGTAAAAGTAAAAACAGAATTAGAATTTTCTCAATATTTTTGTTGCCAAATGAAGTTAGGAAGGGAAGCTAAATGCTCACTTATGCTCTGATTCTGTGAATACTTGTGCACAGACGTTAAGTCACATACTTAACGTTAAGCATAGTGGCTGTAGTACATTTACTCTGAAAAACATCTGACTCTAGGAATGTCCTATTGAGGTTTAGAAGACTATTCCAGGAGCAAGGTACTGCTAGTAAGTCAGAGTATCACAAACTGTCTCACAAAAGCCTGAAAAAAGCTTGCAAATAAGAGCAAAATTTTTTAATTTTTTTCAGGCTCAATATAAAATCATCTGTCACATACAATTTAAAAAAAAGTATTAAAGCAGAAAATAAAAAGCACTGACTATAGCAATGCACTTTATTCTGGATAAATCAGAATTCCAAAGTGACAAGGTAAGTATGTACACTTATATCTACATATTTAGAAGCTTAGCATCATCGTTGTGAAGCATGAGTTGCTAAAATTACACCAGAAAAGATCTGTCATTTCATGTGGAAGAATTAATGGGATATGTCTGTCTACTTCTGATACGCTACTCTCAGAATGTTCTTTCCCTGTTATAGCTCAATGTACTCCTGGCACTGGCATGACACAAGGTAACAGATGTACTCAGAAAGTAATCTTGATGGAAAGTCTGATGGTGTAGTGAAATACTGGTTAAGTGTTTTTGTAAATATTTTTTTAAAATCAACACTTAAACGTATACATTTCGTTTTTGGACAGTGTTCTCTGCAAATGAGACTTGCTTGAACCAATAAGGATATCTTATACATACATAGAGATACTTCAGTTATTCCCTTAACTGGGTTATATCATGTGAGCTAAAGATTTTTAGAAACCTTAATAAATATAAATCCCATCACTCCACTTTGGTCATGATCAGTACCATAGGAGGTGAAGATTTACCTTCCAGCATTCTTGACAAATCCAATATCTGCAAGTACTTTTTGGCATAGATCACAGCAGAAGCATTCAGGATGCCAACTATTGTTCATAGCTTTAATAACACGACCAATAATGAACTCACCTGTAAGTAAATAAAATATCTGGATCTTAAAAAAGTTGTTTTAAATGTGTACTTTAAGCAAACAAATAACACTGTACAAGTATTTGGCAAAGTAAAATAAACCCAAACCTCCCAGCTTTTCCCTTCAGGTATGTGGCTCCAGGGGCTCTGGTTCTCAACTTCATTCTTGACTACAAATCCAGAGCAAATTCCCTTACTAACAAAGCACTTCCCCTTCTAGCTAACACTACCACCCTCCCTCATATACTTCATTTTCTATATGTGGGGTTTGGTTTGGTTTTTTACCCTCTCTCTCCTTTTTCAGTCATCTGATCTCTTATTCAGTTTTTGTATCCATGCAATTCTGCATGACTTTTTCTTCCTAATTACTTTCTCCTTTCAGCAAGGTTAAATCCAACTTTTTCAAAGTGGATTTGGAGGAAGACTCAGTCTCATGCTTATAAGACTGCTTCCTACTTCCCTGACAAGATGCTGACAAGGGATGTGTGGGGTAAGCTCTTTGCTCGTGAGATGCACTTCTTACTGTATCAGGTCAATGTACAAGGAGGGATCCCTGGCCTAGTTCCAACTGCAGCTTTTGTAGCCTTTCCTGTTAGATGCTTCCTAGGTATGGCTAAGAAACAAACATCAGATACTGGCCCTAGTGGCAACAGGGGCATCCCCAAAGCTGTATATAGGCATTGGTGGTCATTGCTGACTGAGAACGATTGAAAACAGAGAGCACAAACTCTGAAGCTCAAAGTCCTGGATGTAGTCAGGAACCAAATGGTGTATCACCATGGATGCACACTCCCCAGATCAAGGGAGACTGGCTAATAAATGCTAAAACTGTCAGATAAAAAGTCTGGAATATAAAAAAGCTATTTACAGATATCTAAATATATTTTCACAGAGAAAGAAGCTGACGCTTCAAATACTGGAGGTTCCAACCTGGACTTAGCAACAGTGAGAGGAAACTAGAGAGGCAGATAGTCAGCCCCACCCTTTTTTTCCCTTCAGTGAGAGGCACAAGGTGAGAAAATGGCACATGTGTGGACCAATACTACCTTTACAGTTCTCTGGTTCTGGATGCATGCATACCCACAGTGTAATTCAAAGAGAGACCTACACTCAAAGAAGCCGCCCAAGGAGCACACAATACTCGTTTAGTGCTATAGTCAGCGTAGCATTGTGAGATCAGAGATAACTTAGCCCTGTGGTGTTCCAACATGCTAGTCACATGTGGCTATTTGGCTGGTTGAGCATGGCTAGTTCGCTGTGGCTACTGCTTCAGAACTGGTTGGACACCACGGATGTAGCTAGTCGTCACTCGTTCCCTTCATTGCATTTTCATACTTCAATCCAGGGTTTACATTCAGCCACAGTCTTCTGGAGCAGAGCTCTGGTAAATATTTAAAAACCTGCAGAAGCACCAGTGCATCCTCTGGGGCAGAAGCCCCAAGACCTAGTGCCTCCCATAGGGCAGAAGTCCAAGACTCTGGGAAATATTTTGGGGGGGAGGAGGAGGAATTTAAGCCCTGCTTCTATCTCATCTATAAAATGAATCAGCAAATGGAACTGCTGGTCAAGACTGAGGTGCTTTGCCAGACAGGCACAAAGTAGCTAAGTAGGAGTGAGACTGGAGAGTTGCACTGTCGCTTGGTCCATACTATGCCTAGCTCAGGCAAGATCATTTACTTTTGCCCAGTCGCAAATGTTTTAGTTCATTCTAAATTATATCCCGTTGGTATTGCAGGGAGAAAGATGTGTCAATGGGAGGCATGACTAAGACAGGCAGCAGAATTAGGGTGGGCAGATGGCTCACCAGGAACTTATGGGGAGAATGGAGGGATGCATGGAGCCTCTTAGCTGTAAAATAAGCTTGGCCTATAGAAATAGAAAAATCCATCATCCATCTAGTAAGCTGTACATCTGAGTATTTATTTGAGTTATGCACACTAAATTCCCCTTCCCACATCTCCCCACCATCATTCAACCCTTCTGGCCACAGCAATTCCTAGCTTTAAACCTAGTGTGCATAAGCCTCTCTTGGAGAAGAGCATTCAATCTCTTCCTTTCATACAAATACGCATTTCACACATCCGATAAATAAGACAAACAGCTTCATGTAGATGTCAACAAAACAGTTCAGGAGAGAGTTAAACGAGGTGAAGGGAGTGACTTTTCAGACCAGTTCAGGAAACACATCCCGTGCACAGGACAATGTTAAAAAAAGCTGAGAAATGATTATGGGAGGAGCAGGCAACAAGAGTATTTTCACTGAAATAGAGAAGAAGCAAGTGCATCGAGTGAGTCAGTGCTATGTAAGGCCTCAAAGGTGGTTTGAAGCTGAAAGGGCTTTAATTTGATGCCATAGGGTAGGGGAGAGAAGGGGGAGAAGAGCCAGTGTTTTCATGAGATAGGCAAGGAAGATTCTTAAATTGTGCAGACTCAAGTGGGACAATGTAGGTACTGAGGAGTCCAATTATGAAATGGATACGATAATTGAAACAGGAGATGGCAAAGGCTTGCTGAGAGAGTTGGCTGCACAAGAACTTGTTTTTTTGTTACATCATATCAAAAGCACATGATGGCCTAAAATGTTAACTGATTCAAGTGCTAAATCACTAATCATTCTGAATTAATTCATCCATCTTTTTTAAGCCTTATTTCCTGATTTCTTTATTTTAATAAGTCCCTTGGTTATTCCCAATATTTTCTGAAGTCTATTTCATTCAATCACAGGGAACATTCAGAAAGATTATATTATTTTCCAACATTATATGTTGAACTTATATTGGATGAGTAGTATGAAATACTTCCCCTGCTATAAAACTTACCACACTGATGGCAGCAAGGAGCAAAAAGCATCTGAAAATCATGTTCACAATACTTCCTGCCTTCAAACTGCAAATGAGAAGCAAACTGGAAGTTAGAGGAATAAACAGTGTATTTTCATTTCACATCAATAATGTAGATATCATCATGACTCTGTAACATTCCCAGATAGAATTAAATTGCAAAAGAAGACTTGGCTATAACAAAGATGAAACACACACAAAAAAGGCTTTTGTGGGAAACAAACTAATCAATTCCTTGAATAGTGAATCTACCTACCTTCCATTAACTTTAAGCAGGCAGTACATTATTTGTGCCAGTATTAACTCTGAACTTATCTATTGTCTGACATAATGTAAATAACAACACAGAGCAAAAGCTTTAGACACTCCGCCTTTTTAAACCAAACAGGATATAGAAAATCTGATGCAACATACAATGCTAGAGGTAGCAATTACATTTTGAATTATTGGATCAACTTATAAAAACCTTTCCTACTAGGAAACATTTTCCTTGAACCCCTCTGATTTTCTCTGCACTCTGCCCTTTCTGAAGGAATAGCCCAGCATACTGGTGGAAGTAAGTGCAGGAGAATGTTCATGTAAAAAATCTCTGCAACTTATTGCGCAAAACAACTTTCCAGTTCAGTATTATAACATACAAAAAAAATGTAGGAAGAGAACTTCCATTCAATCAAGCTGACAAACTGATAAGGCTAAGGAAATTCACGCCTGATCTCTTTCTCAACAAACGTCTAGATTTGGGGCTTTAAACTGGCCCATTACAGAGACTGAGGCTAGACACATGGCTTGGATTTAGATCCGAACTTTCCCAGATTCCAGGGGGATTCAGATGTGGTTCTCTGGTTCAAGTTTGTTTACACAGAAAGAAGATGGGAAATGATTTCAAAGAAGCAAAAATAGTACTGTAGAACTAAGCAGTACTGAATAATATACAGGCAAACATAGCTTGGAATAAAGGGGAGGTACTACTCTTTCATGGTGCCTGCAGGCATCTCATAACATGTTAAAAAGAGACATACATCATTATGTTTACTATAAAATGTTTGGCATTTTACAAATTGATACAAGAATTAAAGTGGAGGCAATGGAAAGCATTTTAAACTGGAAACTAAAAATCAAAATGAACTCAATTAATATTAAGCCTAAATTAAGAAAAGTATAACATTTATAAGTTAACTCCTGTATCCTGCTCTATTATGATTCTCTAAGGATCAGAGAATTTTTATCTTTGTGAATCATTATACAGCAGAGTGAGTCATAGTGAACTGTCTAGCCGGGTGGTGATCTTTTATGATGCAGACTGATTTTCACTATAAACTTGAGACCCCCAAGATGAGTTTTCATGCTGAACTTGACTGGAGGCATTAGGAATGAAAAGCCAGTGTTCTACAGTAAGTCTTCCAACCAGTCTGATATTAGCACAAATCAACTGTACCAAACATTCTGTAATATCATGCATCAAAAGGCTATAAAACTGTTTACATATAAGAGTTAGAAAGGATTTGGACATGAACATACAAGAATATGGAATTTGAATGCTTCATTTGTGATACAATGAAGCGCTGTCTATACATGTTAACCCTGTTGCATGCAAATATAGGTAGGCTGAACAGATTTTCCTTCTCTTCCACTTTTGTCAAGCAGGCATACTATTTGTTTTAATTTTTAGCCCATTTCTGCAGTACACTGTGGCAGATTTTACTATTTATCTACCAGCAAAAACCCTCAATCCCAAGTAACTAATTACATAACACACATTTAGTTAGCCATATACAGGAGATCCAAGAATCAATAGTTGCGAGGTAGGAAATCTTATCTCAAAATAATCACTAACTAGCTGCAAATCTCCACATCTTTAATAGCTTACTAGAAAGATATATAGTATAAAAAGATATATAATGTATCTACTCCAACTGAGGTGAGAGTAAGATAACTTTTTACCCTAGCTGCTACCCGTTGGCACCAGTGTGGTGCACTATACATGTCCCTGCCAACCCAACCACAACTGAGTTCCTTCTTGCCGGCTACTCTGACAGTGAGGGAGGAGGATAGGTATGGAATAGGTTTGAGCAACACATCTCGAAGAATAACAGTAACAAAGGTGAGTAACCATGAGGACCACATTGCAGCCCTGTAGATATCCTGGAGAGGAACATGAGTCAGAAAAGCAGCTAAGAAAGCCTATGCTCATGTGCATTGTACTGTAAGAGGTGGCGGAGAAACCTTAGCTAGGTCATAACACATGCAGATACATCCATGATCCAGGAGAAGATGGGTTGTGACAAAACTGACAGATCCTTCATCTAATCCGCCACTACCACAAATAATTGTGAGGATTTACAAAAGGGCTTAGTCCTGTCAATGTAGAATGTGAGAGCTTACCTGACATCCAGAGTGTACGGCTGCTGCTCCCAGGAGTCCTGGTAAAGTGTGGGATGGAAAACTAGAAGGAAATTGTCCTGATCTGTGTGGAAAGCACAGCCCACTTTTGGAACGAAAGCCTGATGAAGGCAATGCTGAACCTTGTCTTTACGGAAGACAGTGTCCAACATGAGGGCACAGAGTTCTGACACCAGTCTGGCAGAGGTGATAGCAACTAGAAAAGCCACCTTCCATGAAAGAAAAAGTAATGAACAAGCTGCTAAAGGCTCAAAGGGGGGAGAGAACCAGGCTGAGATCCCAAGCAGGGACCAGACTGGTGGGTGGAGCCTCCATTCCCTTGAGAAAGTGCTTAACCAGGAGGTTCATAAAGATGAAGCAACCAGTTTCTCTCAGGTGAAAGATGACGGGTGGTGGTGGTTGGGGACTCCCTCCTGAGTCATCCATCTGCCGTCCAGACCTGCAATCTCGAGAAGTGTGCTGCTTACCAGGAGCTCGCATTCAGGATGTGACCGAGAGCCTTCTGAAAATGATTAAACCTTCGGATCGCTAACCCTTCCTGCTTCTCCATGGAGGAACTAATGATATGGCCAAGAATGACCTACACACCGTCCCAGAAGAGGAATCTGCCACCCCATCAGACAGAATGTCCGGCCCTAATGATTTAGTTACCTCCACCTCACAGGTGCAAATTAAGCTTTGGACCCCCTGTGGGAATGGGCATCACATAGACATTCCAACTCAATTGGGATTTTAATGACAAGAGAAGCATCTATGTGACCACAGGGGTATAAAGTGGGGCCCTGTGCCCCACTCTAATTGGAGATCCACCCATATATCTGCTGGTCAGGTGGCCTTGGACCCCCGAGACTTTAGGGATGCCTTTGTCTCGTACCGACTGCTTCCCATTGGGATTGAGAGGAACACTGGCTTCTCCGGAGTAAGGATCGCAGGGATGAGAATATACCTGCTAGGTATCTGTTTTGCGTGCATTTCAATAAGAGCTCAGAGAACCAAAAGGGTTCCACGGTACCTTTAAGTGACTTTTTATTGTATTTTTCTGCTTTGTCTTTGTAGTGGCTGTGTTATCTGTAACACAGCAATAACATTTAACACCTAAGCTTGCCTTGTAACAATAAAATAGTAACTGTTTAAGCTTTAACCTGACTCCTCCTGTTGCTGTAACAGAACCAAACACAATCAAAAAGAACCATAGCCGGTTTGGCTATCTTGCCACAGTCAGGGGCAAACGCAGTAAGAGCTGAGCGTTGAGTCGTGCCGCCTCCACGGGGCAGACTCTTGGGGCACCCGTCAGCCTCCCTGGCTGCCCGCTGCGAAGGGACTTTGTCCTAGCAGTTAAAGACTCAGGTGTGATAGGGATCACAGACCACTCATTACCCCGGCCACCAGCTAACACCATCCGAAACTTGCTAGTGATCACAAACTTGTTAAGCTCCCAAAGGTTAAGATAGGTCAAAGGCCCCCCTTCACTTTGGGAAATAACAGAAATATGGGAGTAGACACCCTTGCCCCTGAAATCCTGAGGAACCCCGTCCACTGCACCCAAGTCATTTTAGTAGCTGTGTTTCCTGTACAAGGTACATAATGTATCTTTATATATGTGTCTACTTCTTTCTATCTCTGCTGGATATTTCTTTTCAAAGAATTGTCCTACCATTCTGTGATAATATTTTATAAACAAACTTGAAGATGTACCCAGCATTGCTCCAGTCCTTGATTCAATTAATTTTTGTTTTTTGGAAAAGAAAATGAAAATGCACATCCTTCATTTAAATCATTGCTCTGGGGTGTGGCTGGGGAAGAGGAGATCAGTTTGCAGACTGCCCTAAGGAGAGAGAAGCATCCTAGCCCCCCCTCACTGTAGCATCTTGAGGACAAGTGTGCCTAAGAGGTGGGAAACTCAGGACTGGGGCAGTCATGGACAGGGGGAGAGCACCCCCAGCCAGCCTCTTTTCACCTGGTGATTCTGTCTCTTTTCTGTATATTTTATGAGAGCAATCTCATTCCAGACACATCCCATTTTCCTGCCACAACCTTATGTTGCTTGAAGTTATAAGAGAAAGCTGAATACCAAATTTGGTAGTCCTAGCTCTTAGCGTTTAGGAGGAGTTATTGAATAAACAGATAAACAGACACACACATTCTCTCAAATATATAGTGGATGACACTTTCCACACTTACCATTTGCACAGCATAGAAAATAAAAGCCCAAGAACATAGGGGAGAAAAACATTTTAAACAACTTACCTCATAAAAGAGACCTTCAGGGAACTGCTGAAAGCACTGGGCACACACGAAACACTGTTCATGGTACAGTTCACCATTGCTGTTAACAATCTTCTCAGCAGGTGCAAAGCCCCCTTTGCAGCGCTCACATATGGCATTTGCAAGAGCATTTGCCATATTACTGTAACAAAAAGAAAATAAAGCAAAAAGAAATTGTTGATCTTCTCTTAAAATGAGAGGATAAAGAAAAGGGAAACACTTCCACTGATTTTATTTCATCTCTCTTTTGAAAAGCCAACTGCCCCAATCAATCTCCTACCAAATTTATGGAAATATTTACACTAACTATAATGGGAGTTGCAGCAGTCCCTTAATGAGGAAAAAGTTGTGAAATATTTCAGTTCTTCCCTCCACCCCGCTCCCCCTCCCCCAAGCAGCACCCTCTTCTAAGAACTTTTGGTAAAAAATGCAGTTTCAGGCTTCTATGGGAGGAGGTGGCTGAGGGGAGAGAACAGATTATATTTTCATTCAATCAGGTGCTACAAGAAAAAAAACAATTACAATTATCATGGAAGATAAGGGCAAATTTCATCAGTAATTAAAGATCAATGCAAGAATATTGTTCTGAAAGTGAGGATCAAAATCAATACAAAAGGATAGAACATATGTAACATTATTTCTGACATCTGACATAACCTTTATCAAGAGTCGAGGAATGGTAAATGGTAAAAAGTATTCTTTAGATTTATCAATTTTGCAAAATGACTTGCAGCTACATGGAATTTGAATCAGAGATCAGGAAAACTTCTAAATAATAATGCTGGGAGTGCTTCTTAAAGGCATGCAGTAATAACATTATAATGCAACATCTGCAAATATCAGAGGACAAAGCCTTATCTGCAATAAAGCCACATAGCTCTTTTGGAGTCAAATGAGGAACTACTCTAAATTTTTGAAGTCCACTGTTGATTTTTCATACTGCAAGAAGCTTTCATACTTATATCTATTTAAACTCACAGAATTTAAGTCTCGGAGACTAAGCTTTCTACTGCAGACGCATCTGTAACATGCAGAAAGCACAGGCTAACTCTGAATTTTCACAACATCTGGCCAATATTAGCAGAACAACTGTAGACTGCAAACAAGAACCATGTCAGATATTTGAATTTGCTGGAAATCTCATTTGATCCAAACATTTTAATCAGAATTGTATAAAGCAATCTGTATTTTATTCCTCAATAACCAACAGATTTGATTGTTCAGAAAAAGTCATGCTGCATCTATAGATATAGAAGGCTCAATTCCACATAAGATGCTGAGTGCCCCTGACTCCCATAGATTTCAATAGGAGATGGAGGATGCTCAGCACCTTGTGCAGGAACAATCTCACATGAAATACTAGCACACACACATTTTAATAAGTGAAAGATGATATATTCCTTATCCTGTATCACAAAAAGGCTAACCTCTGGTTAAGGAAACACTTAACCATTATTAGTAATCTGCTGCTTTTTTCTATTTTACGGCACTTTACGAATGAAGGTATCATACTCCATGAACAATATCCCTGACCAAATCTCTCAGACTAAGAACATGCAATTCCACAGGGGTTCCGATCACTCACATACAAAATACAAATGCTAAGCGCAAACAGTAGTGAGCTATACAGCTAAACACTGCCTTTCTCCACAATTCATTTCAATCAAAACTACTGTTCTCTATTGAAGATAACTGAATCGCTTCATTTGTCATACCAAACAACAGACTAAAACTGGATTTGATATAAATATTGATCACAATATAAATTGTGACCTTTCTTTAGAGTTCAACAGGTCATGAATACTAAGAATGATAAACGAAGACTTTAGTTTAAGAATTCAACTTTCAGTATTTGTCATATATGAAATAAAATCTAGGCAACATCTGAAAATGAAGAAATTGGAAAATTACAGCTTTTAGCAAAACAAAGCGTTTAAACCTTCCTTTTCCAAACAAAATGCACACATATTTCTTCACTCTCCTTTGAGAAATATGTGCTACTATAGAACTACTTGCAGAATCTAAAAGAAGTCGTCTCTCAGAATACATAGTCTACACTACAAATCCAATCTAGTACATGTAACTGGCATGATACCTACTGAAATCAAAGGACGGTTTTGTTTATAGCATCTGTTGGAAGTTTTAGTAGAGATCAAAACTAGAATTTTATCACAGGAATGGTAAGGTTTACTTTACTTAAGAGAGTGATTCAAATTTTCATTAGAAAAAACACCTGCAGATTTAAAAACAATTCTACCACAATAACATCCCAACCTGAAAAAGTGAACTTACAATCTTGCATAAAAGTCACAAAGTTCTTTGTATACTTTTATGTCACTGTGCCTACGTTGTAACTTTGACACTGCTTTCTCGCCTTCATTTCCATTGGTATTATGGACATCATGAATATCCCTGTGTGGAACTTCTTCATTCTCTGGAATCATATAGGAGTAAGCTCTGCTTTGGAATTCCATACTTTCCATAACTGGAAATCCAATTAATGTAATCCTTCTTAAAATCAACTGCTCTAGTGCAAAGAAGCTGCAGACAATAAAGTGTGGAGAAACAATATGCACGGCTTCCCCTTGTTCCCAGCAAAGTGATTTACTTCCCACAGTTTCACGTCAGTTAGCCAGGCTTCCAGAGATACTCTGCTAGAGTTTCAAGTTAAAAGTTCAACAGCAAAGGAGTTAGAATGACATGCTGTGATTCACTCAGATTCATTAGAACACATTTCATTACAAGGTTGTAATACATGCTTGGGCAGTACGTATAATCTTCACCATCTATTGATGATCATAAGAATTTCACTCAGATACAGGGGCTATTTTATCAGGTAAACATGTATGAGTCAACGTGTTCACTGTCAAACTCATCAACAGTTATTATTTACTGAAGAAAAATTATTCCAATAATACTGAATCGTGAATACATCAGCAAAGTATTCTATATCATTAGATACAGATTGCTTAAAAGGCCTGTTAGGCTAGATTGTAAAATTAGCTTTTTTTAACTGAGTGTGTTCCTTATGTCTCTTCTCAGTCAAATGTGCTGCTGAGTTTATTTTTCTTTCTGCCAGCACTTCAGAGAAGATATGGCTACAACTGGATTAGTTATTTTCCATTTTGTCTCACACATCATTAGGAGAATTGCCAAATAAGTTCTAGATGTAAGAAGCAAAAACAAATTATCTTGATTTTCAGTTACCAGGCTGTTTAGCACTGCTTTGACAGATAAATCCCATATAGATCTGAATATAATATAGCTATTAGGGAAGAAGGGAGGAAAGCAGCTTATGAGGATGTCAGTCATCCTGTTATCACAATGATGACTTCTAATGCAGACTATGTACCATTTCTTCATATGGGTTTTATTATACAGCAATTATTTTACTGCAACATTCAATTTGGTATAAGTCCGCTCAGTCCAACTGCAGATTTCTTGGAAGCAGAAGTTGTCCTATCCCAAGAGTTTAAGTAACTTTACAGGCAGTCCCCGGGTTACGTACAAGATAGGGACTATAGGTTTGTTCTTAAGTTGAATTTGTATGTAAGTCGGAACTGGCTCCAGATTCAGCCGCTGCTGAAACTGATCAGCGGCTGACTACAGGAAGCCCCAGGCAGAGTTGCTCTGCCCCCAGCTTCCTGGAATCAGCTACTGATCAGTTTCAACAGCGGCTGAATCTGGAGCCTGGGACAGAACAGCTGGGGTGCCAGATAGGTCCCTGCAGGACCAACCCGGCAGCACCCCAGCTGCTCTACCCCAAGGTCCACAACCAAAGCCCGGT